CGTGCGTGTGTGTGTGTGTGTGTGTATGTGTGTGTGTGCCTTGTGTTAGACTGCCATTGTGTCTAGGCTTTGTGGGACAGGCTCCGGGTTCAATCACAATTTGTGGAATGTTTTGTTTTCTCTATAAATGTTCACTTTTACTAAGATGGTAACATTACTACATACCACGTATCCATCTATCATCCAACAGCACAGTGTTGCAGGAGTCTGGAGTCTATCCCAGGAAGCACAGGGCACTCGGCAGGAAAACACAGTAAGTGTACTTTATTCTGGACAATCTGAAAACAATTTTACAATAATCTTCTCCCAGTAGAATGCATCCGTCTTCCAAATTCCTGTCCTAGTCAGGGTTGCAGGTAGGGCTGCAGTCTGTGCCAAGCAGCCCAGGGCAAAAGACAGGGATACATCCTGGAAGGAATTCATCGTAAGGCACACACATACAATACGGGCAATTTAATGTAACTGGATGTGTTCGGACAGCGGAAGGAAACCCTCACAACATGGGGAGAGTTTGTGAGCTTCACAGAATGAAGCGAGGACTAAACCCCCAAAACTGAAAGTATGAGGGAACAGTGCTACCTTTTCTTTCAAGTAAAACCTACTCTTATTACGAAACCAGGGCAGCAGGGGTGCCCATCTGAACAATGTACCCATTCTGTATCTGAAAGGGCAACTGAAAGAACAGCATCAGCAACATGACGTTCACAGATCTGTCAAGTGAGTATTGTCCTGGGGACCTGCTGGTCCTCTGGAAAAAAATAGGGTGGTGCTAAACTATTTAAAATATTTATTAAAAACAATAATTTACAGTTGCCAAACTAATCTATACTACTTTTATTTTGAATACACTTACATTTATTGATTCTATTGTTTTTCTACCTATATAGTCTAGCTATTATAATGCTGCTGATTTCAATCCAGAATGACCTGTAGTTTTATGTTGATAGACAACTGGATGTTTTTACTGGAGCAGAAACTGGAAGTGGCAACTAGCAAGGTGTACGTCTGAGCCCTTAAAAATCAAGGAGGGATTCTAGTCACTGACTCGCAATTCAACTCGAACTCAAGTCGCAAATTTGATAACATGTAACACATGTGACTCGACTTGGCAAAACTGATAGAAAGACTTGGACCTGACTTGGACTTCAGGGGAGATGACTCGAGACTAAGACCCGACTTGGACCCTATGACTCAAGAACACTTGAGGTTATAGTCACCCCTCTGGATACCATAACATTAATTTTAGAATTTCAGTGTATATAAATTCTCTGCTGTCTGCATTTTCATTTAGCTGAATGCAAGGTCTCCTGAGATAGTTTGTTTGAAAGATGCATCACTCCCTGCATATACATGGATGTAAAAAATGTGTGAAAACATTCATGACAGTGTGGAGACTCTCTTTTCAAGGACTTAACTACAATATACTGTGGCAGGTTTTTAATGCAGCAAGATTTAATCACTAGAGGCAAAAAACTGACATAGATACGGACTCAAGTTACTTGACTCAGAACTCGACTTGGACTCAAATCACAAATTTGATGACTTGTGACTCAACAGCAAAAGTGATGGAAAGATATGAACTCGACTTTGACTTGAGGGCAGATAACTTGAGACTTGACTTGGGCTTACAATGATTTGACTCGAGACTCCCCAAGGAGTGAGTTGGTCCCATCCCTGTTAAAAACCTTACTAATCGTTTTTAACTCAGTTGCAGGCATGTTCCTTTTACACTGTGGCTCCACCACACTGCGATGAAATCGGAATTGATCTGTTGAGTCACATATTTTTCTTCATTTCAATCCAATGACACACCTCGCAAAGCTGCACCTCCATTTGTAGGATTCACTTTATGATTCGTAGCATTCGTAAGCAAATGTAGGCCAAGCCCCTGAAACCAAAGTACTACCCGTCATTCCAGTTCATTCAGCACATCCTCGGGTGTGTGTAACATAAATAATATCATAGTCATCACATCAAAAAAGTAACTGTACATTAACAGAATGAGAAAAACCATTGTCCTGAAAATTCATTTTCCAAGAACCCTTGCTACAGTTTACGTGCACATGTAAATGTTTCATGTGGTTTAGGGTTTAATGTTTGTCAGGTAAAATGCGCATGCACACATTCCTGGTTAATAACAGTCTTGCTTGCTGTTACTGCTTTATTCATCTATCTTTATACTTAACCTAAACCACAGTGAAGTCTGCAGTGATGCAGTGATGAAGGGTATGCATGAGTGGCACATGAGCAGTCAGAATAAGGGCGTCTGCTAAGAAGATAAATAAAAATAAACTCGCTAAGAATTGCTGCATCCTCCACTCCCAGTTCATGGTTAAAAACGTGGACCACATTTCAACATGTTTTTCTGAAAACACGTCACACAATCTTTCCACAGGCAAGGCGGGTAAACCCCGGAATGGAAGCCTGAATGTGGCTTTGGCAAAACAGTACAAAACTTATTTAGAGCCATTTTCTGGGATTCAGTTAACGTTTGGATTTTTATTCAGCAGGTTTGCGCGACCCAGAGAATGACAAACATAAGTTCTTCCCTTTTAAAATGAATTAAGAAATACATGCAGGAGGAAAACTCAAGTAACACAACTGAAAATGATGTTATACAGTAAGGCAGTTATTTTATGCGGTAATATTAAAGTTTGAGCGCCTCGTGGCAACGTGCGTCCACGGCTGGGCCACCCCGCGTCCCATCGCCAGGAGGCGCTGCAGCTCATTCTGCGCTGCATGCAGGGCAGCCGGTGTGTAATGACAAGCAGCAGCGGCAAACTCCGGCTCCCACTGCAGCCGAAACTACAGGACGGGCAGACGCAGTGTCTGTCTCGGCCGCTTTTGCTCAATGTTGTGTCCGCTATCTGCCGCCGGTCCGCGGGTCGCTCTCCTTCCCTCCCTCACTTCTGAGAAATGGACGCGAAGCCGGACGATTCGGACCGGGGCCGGTGGGGCGATGACGGCGAGCCCCTGCTGTACGGGGAATTCACGTCGGCGGCCAGCAGAAAGGTCAGGTACGCGGTGAGCCTGAGCGACACGGCGCTCACCACCCAGCGGATCACTGCGGCGCCCTCCGGCCGGGGCGCGGCGGTCCTCAACTTGAGAGACTGCGTGGGCTGCCGGGTCTTCAGGGCGGAGGACGACGCGGACCCGGGGGCTTGTTTCTCCGCGTACTTCTACCCCTTTAAGCGGAGATGGATGAGCTCCGGAGCGGCTCGCCAGAGGGTGGAGCAGTGCTTTCGGGTGGCGCCGGTCCAGGACCCCCAGGTGAATCTCCGGGAAGCGGAGCGCTGGGCTCAAGCCATCAGCCAGGGCTCCATCCGGCAGCGAGCACCCCGACAAGGTGAATGAAAAGGAGACGTTTATTAACACTGCATATAACTGACCTTTACTAGTCAATCACGGTACTAATCATCCCGCGTACTAAGACGGCGTCGGCGCCACGGCAGGAGATACGTGAAGCAAAAGTTGTAACAAAAGTAACGTCAGATGGGGGGGTCGTTCATGACTTCCTCAGGTGAGCAAGTATAGTTAAAAAAAACACCATTGTCTGTTTTATTGAAGTAGAAGTGCGAGGTTAACCGTTAAATGATTCTCAACGCGAAATATTGGTTCCCAAAAAGCGAGACTCGTAGCCTGTGTGCGGCTCCCCGGGGCCGCCGACCGCCCTCCGATGCCGGTCCCAGGTATGCTGACGGCGCCTTGGATCCTCTATTTTAATCCGCTCCTTTAACCCAGTTTTCCTGGCGGTTTGGAAGTCGACGGTGACTCAGAAGGAACTTCTCAGTGTTTCCCCGTGTCTGTGGCGCCCTCGTGAAGTTTATGTTCGGACTGTACCGAAATGACAGATTGGGCTCAGGGTGTCCCTTTTTCAGAGAGAGATGGTGGGGGATGTGTGCACCCTGTTTAAACACAAATGAATCCCTCAGTTTTGGTACAGTTAGCGAAGCTGTGTCGAATCTGAAAGATTCTCCACTTAATCCATTTAGGGTAATGGATAGTGCTGGTTAGGTTTGAGGTTGCAAATATGCTCATTATGTATAACTGTGCTTAGTTTTAGTCTCTCTTCATATGGATATTTGCACTCATGACTGATATATAACATGCACTAACTGTGGTTTTAATTGTAAGCATTGGTGTTTTCCGAGAGCCTCGCCTGTTACCTTACCTATCTGTTATCTCATTACTCAGGCAGTCGTTTGTGGTTTACCTGTTGCAGAATGACGAGAAGGAGTGGTCAGGAAGTACTGCTTAGGTTCGGTGAGGTGGGAGCAGCCTGCCTCATTTGATAAAGGCCTTTGGTGCAGCAGTTTCTATTTATTTGTTTATTGTATTGATGCTGATAGACAACTGGATGTTATTACTGGAGTAGAAACTGGAAGTGGCAACTAGCAAGGTGTTCGTCAGCCATTAAAAATCAAGGAGGGATTCTAGTCACTGACTCGCAATTCAACTGGAACTCAAGTCGCAAATTTGATAACATGTAACACATGTGACTCGACTTGGATCGTATCGTAATGGATTGTGCTGGTAAGGGTTGCAAATATGCTCATTGTGTATAACTGTGCTTAGCTTTAGTTTCTCTTCTTATGGACATTTGCACTCATGACTGATATATAACATGCACTAACTGTGGTTATAATTCTAAGCATTGGTCAGACATCTGGAAGATCACACTTGGAGTTTTTCAAGAAAATGAATGCCGTCCTGTCAGTGGTATGATTTGCACTGGTTTATTTCATATGCTCTATTTATATTTAAAAATCTGTGCATTTTCATATTCAGTTATCGTGCATTAATTCATATATGCAGTCTGCACAGTTTGAGTGACAGCTGGCTGTTAGGTGTTTTCCCAGAGCCTTGCCTGTTACCTTACCTATCTGTTATCTCATTACTCAGGCAGTCGTTTGTGGTTTACCTGTTGCAGAATGACGAGAAGGAGTGCTCAGGTAGTACTGCTTAGGTTCGGTGAGGTGGGTGCAGCCTGCCTCATTTGATAAAGGCCTTTGGTGCAGCAGTTTCCATTTATTTGTTTATTGTCTTGCGGTGTAACTAGGTTAATTAGTGACTACGCAGTGGCTGTGTGAAGTGCCATGTGCCTGCACAGAGTGCTCTTGTTACAGTCCAGTGATCAGGCACACCTCTCTCTGGAAGGCTCCGTCATTCCTCATTCTCCCCGCCTTATCACAGGGCACTCTCCTGTTCTCCCGTCCACTCCGGCGTACGTGCCCTAACCTGTCGATGTTTCCATTCCCGTCACGGTTCCCGGACGTTAGGGTGCACAGCCGGAGTTTCAACATCCGGGGCGGATGACGAACTGGTTCCCGGGGAAGGCGGAGGTGTTTTAGAGGGGCAGCTAAGTGCTGGAGACGACGGACGACGACGGTAGCAGGGCCGGTGTGGTAACCACAGAGGGAGGCTCCTCTGGGGAAAGCACCTTGGTCTTTCGAGCCAGCTGAGTTGTGGCAGAGCGACATGCCGACCTCACTGGATTCTGGATTGTCCGAGAACCACCTCCCCCCAATAACCCCCGGTCTTTTTGGGTATGTTTGACAAAGGATCTGAGCTGGGAATGGTATGCAAGCGGACTGCATTCATTCATGAGCAGTTTCTGTCAGCTGCACGGTACCTGAGGGGGTCGCGGGCAGGAGAGCTGTCCGTGTCACAGAGCCCCATCCTTTGTGTTTGTTTTTGAGTCAGCCAAGCGGCTGGAAAAAGAAGTCATACTCATCCTTACCGCTCAGCTGCTCTGGCCCCCATCCCAGCACCTTTCCCTCAGCTAATCTGCGGTGTTTTCTAGCAGATCGCCACCCTCCAGAGCTCTCGGGCACACAGAGGTGTGTAAACAGCATGGAACAGAACAGAGGTTAAAGTTGAACATACAGTAGTTATGATTGCAAGGCACTAAGGGAAGCTGGCTGATTTGCGACCGCTGTCATGATTTATTAATGACCCCGGGTTGTTTTAACAGCCATTAAAAAGGTGAATTATAAGTCAGGCAGATAGGGTGCAACCCTGCGATGGGGATATCATGTATTAATGCGCTGTGGCAGGTGGAGCGTGTGCTTTTAGAAGAAGTTCGTCATGATCAATGCCCTCAGTTTCCTCCAGAGATCAGCAGTGTTGAGGCAGGAGTGTTTAAGTGATAACTTAACATCACCATGCAGAAGCAAGTGGCTCAGAAATGTTACTGCACCTGTGAGATTTCATTCCTGGTGATTCGAACCCAGCCCTCGAAAGTTATTTTTAAAATGCATATTAATGAGTGTCCTGCAGGTTTGTAATTTGAGAATGTTCAGATTACAAAAGGTTCATTGTCGTTTGTAATACTAAGTACTCTGTACGATGTGATATATACTTTTAGTTTTCTGCAGACCGACACAGAGCAACAACACAGGACAAAAAGTAACCGGACAGGAGAGCACTTGGGTAAAATGTGTGGTTGTGGTTGCTTTCTGTAATCTGAATAAAGGCGAATCCCTGCTTTGCATGAAACAGTACGATGGCTAACTTCCCATTTGTCTGTGTGGCTCTGGTGCTGAGCATCGTGAAATCTCAGTGGCTGAATGAGACCAGTCCACAGTGTCGGGGGGGTGGGGGGCGATCTCTGCCCTGAGACACCTCCCTTACATAGGTGTTGATTTCCTGACCGGGCCCTTGTCTCCCAGTTCTGTCTCCCAAGGTTTTCATCAATTTTGCACCTGGAAAGGTGCCTCTCTCTGCACAAAGGGCCACCTCTGCTTGTGGGTGAAACTTTAGCCAGCCTCTTTTTTTTGGCAGATGTTGCCTCTTTGTGTGTGTGTGAGACACGACTTTCTGTCGTGAGTCCTCCACTGCACAGTGTTTAAAAGTCCCAGTTTGCGGAACGTCAGCACTGCAGTTTGAGCTGGCTGGCTGCGGCTTTTGCGTTTTAAACTTGCGAAGGAGCTCTTTACTGATCTCGTCAGTAGGAGCGTAACGTTACACGCATTCGTGTCAAAATGTTCAGTACAGGTCTTTCGGTTCAGTACGCATAAGTACCGACAGAATGCAGCAAATGCAGAACCTTTGTGTGTTTGTGTGTGTCCCCCGAGTAGCATTCGGAAAGGGCCGGATGAAGCCGCGTCACTATGCATACGCACAGACATCCTAATGTGTGGCTTAATGTGGATTCAAATACAGCACATATGCTGCACCATAATTGATATTTATTTTGTTATGCTTTGTATTTCTTGCGACAATATTTGTGTTGCACAGTTCTAATATGAAGCTGAAAGCTGCTAATGTGAATACAGTACATATCAGGTACAGTTAATTTTCTAAATGTGCGCCTCAGTGGAAATTTATTTTATTTGTATTTACTTGAGAGAATATTGATTTATCTTTAAGTAAATTTTAGTTTATTAGTAGGTCGCAGCAGTATTGACAGAGACTTTTTATCTAAGAAAGACAGTCATACTTTGTTCAGTAAACCACTGTTTAATAAAGGAAAAAAAGAAGCAATTTGTGTTTTTCCGCTGTACCGAAAACGTACCGAAGCGTGATTTCTGTACCCTTACACCCCTACTTATCAGCTGTGTTAGGGAGTGTGTGTGTATGTGTGTGTGTGTGAAGCGCAAAGCTGATATCCAGCTTTCAGCATTCAGATCTGCATTTCCCTCTATTCCGGATGGCCTTAATCGGAAGGCAGGTAAACCAGTGAAATGTGGCCTGTTCTTTGCCATCCTTCTGTGGGTTGTAATAAGATGAGTGTGTTTGCAGTTCATATGTAACTCCACAGCCTTTAGCTGCAGTGGCCCCCCGGCCACCATCCAGCCCGTACACCGGTCCTGGCCCTCCCTGCCCTGCCCGCTGTGTGCTTCACATATTGTTGGCCGACGTCTGGTCCTCTCCGCTGGGTACTTAATGCATGTCTTCCGCCAACATGCGTTGTGACTCTGAGCTGTTTGCAGACAGCTGGTGACGCTGCCGTTTTAAAAAAAATTTATTTACCACCCCCCTCCTGCAGGAGGCGGGGGGAGAGCAAACGCAGATGTCTCTCTGGTGATTACGCGGCAGAGGAAATATGGTGCTGACCACAGGCCTCCGGTGCCAGAGTCGACACGGCTAGGAGAAGGTCGCCTTCCATAGATGGAGATGAGGTTAATGAATAAGCGGGCAGGTGTAGCGTGTGTTGGGGGCAGCGTGGCGCGCAGGTCCCTGCTTTACACCCCTCGAGGCATGCGTGGGGGATCTGGGCCACCACGCACAGTGGGGGCCTGTGTGTGCAGTATTTTAATGAGTTTTGCATGATTTACAGGGTTTGATTTTTTGTGTGTGTGTGTTATGGATCTCATGCTGGGTGGTGGAGTTAAAACAGGAGTGGAGACACTCAGCCAAGGCACCGTGAAATTGCCCGGTCATCTGCATTCCTGCATCAGACAGACCAAACCTTATTTGTTTTAGACCGGTGCTGAGCGCTTCACTGCACAGGTGTGTGTGTGCGCGTGTTCGTGTTGTGTGTGTGTATGTCTGTGTGTCACTGCACAGATGTGTGTGTGTGCATGCGCGTGCATGTTGTGTTTGTGTGAGTGAGTGACTGCATAGGTGTGTGTGTTTGTGTGTGTGTCTATGTGACTACACGAGTGTACGTGGTCCAGGTATACTTTACATTGTGAGTACATTTGGTCCCCACAATGTGATAAAAACTTATTTTGATGATGTGGGGCCATTTTTTCAGTCCTCACAAGGGGAAATTTAATTTTATAAAAATCTGTGACTGCAATCAAAAAACTAAAAATGGCAAAAGACTTGTACTTTGTTTGGTTACTTATGGTTATGGGTGGATGTTAAGGTTGTAGTTGTTGGCATTAGGGTTTTGCCCATAGAAATGAATAGTCGATCCCCACAAAGATATGAGTACAGGTCTGTGTGTGTGACTGCACGGGTGTGTGTGTGTGTGTGTGTGTGTGTGTGTGTGTGTGTGTGTGTCCTGTCCGCAATAGTTTTTCCAGTCCTCACCCAGCTCTGCTGATCGTCACTGGTTAGCGTCTCGCCACTGCGTGCACACGCCTGCCGGTGCAGTGTCATCTGTCCTGTGACCATGATTCACTGGCTCGCAGTGTGATTCCCGTTTGTAATTACACACAGCCGAAAGCTGTGGCAGTTAGGCTGAGTTAAGCAAGAACGTGAATACAAGGGAATGGAATGGGAGGTGTCACTGTCAGAGACTGGAAGGAAATGAACTGTTATTTGCCATTTGTACTACGAAAATGTTGTACGAGAACAAGTAGATTGGAATGTGTTAGTTTTCATATATCCCAGCATGGTCTCCTTTTTAAGGCAGACTGGTAAATGGTAAATGGATTGCATTTATATAGACTGGGTTTGCAGTGAGTCTCATTTTAGAGATGCTGGTTAAAACATCCACAAACAAACAAAGTTTGTTCGTTCATAGAAACTGCGGTGCTTTATAGTGGTTCTCTAAGTGTAGATGGGTGACATTTGGATGCCTGATATTTTGAGAAGGTTGTTTGGTGAAAATAGGAACTTTGAGAGGTGACCGTGTCTTCCCGCACAAAAGCGGTACACGTTTGCGTCCTCCGTGCTGTTGATCAGCAGTTTGAGTTGTGAATATTTCTGGAGGGCTTACAGCTCGCCGGTCCGATAGCAGACGTGCCCAGCGGCCCGTCGCAGTGCTGCTCTCTGCGGTTCCTACATCGTTCTCGCCTGAGGCGTGTTCGGTTCTCCTTACCAAAGTTCCTCCTTCGCTCTGTGGTTGCACGAGTCCCTTTGTCCCAAAGTGTTAATCCTCACGCTGATCACCTGAGGTCGTTTCCGCCCTGACCCTGGCCGTGCCAAGCTGCGCTCACTGACACATTGTGGCTTTAATTTGTGTGCGATGGAATTGGGGCGATTTGCACGTCTCGTTCCTTAATGTGCCTTCAAGGCTGCCACATACCCCCCCTCCCCCCATATCAGCCTGTTTCCTCAGTGGCAGTGAAATCTCCATCATGTCTGCTACTCTCTGCGCGTGACGCCGGTCATCCGACGGAGCGAAATGTCATTTCTGTACAATCAGAAGAACAAAAACCTAAAGCGCGTTTCACTTCATTAAATCTCCCCAAAAGATGGCAGGATCCTACCAATTGCGCTGCTCCCAGGCGGGTCTGGGAAGTGCTGCCATGTGACAAGAATGCCTGTCACTTTAAAATGCAGAGCTTTGTTTGGGCGGCTCGCTGTCCTCACGTTCCAACCATTCTAGGCAAATGGGACACTTTCGCTACGGTATACGGTATACGCTTATACACCACATTAACCCATTTAATCCCACTGGTCAAAATTGTGATCACGTTATTTTTTTTGCTCTTTAAGCTCCAAAATAGTGGTTGTTGCCTGTAAGCCCAAAAGAAATGAAAGTACAGGTTGTCTTGATGGTGTATGACCAATGTCGTGTCACTAGTGTCAATGGTCACATGACCAGAGCAGTTCAATTCCTTCATACACTGTAATGGCAGGGAAAAGTTTAGTATTAAACAGGTTAAGGGCACCCAAATCGCCTAATAATTTTGTAAGAATTCTTGTACCTAATGTTTTTATAGCTAATTGATGGTCTATTTTTGTATTCTGCAGTTCACTTATGTTCTCTTAACCCACCCCTGGACTGTAATTCTGCTTATTTTACCGTCCGAAGGCGTGTTATGGTGCTGGTGGAGGGGCGATGGGGTCATGTCCAGAGGGTGTCCTGCTGGGGGCCGCCGCCGTTCTCGGGGAAGGGGTGGGGGTGGGGGTGAGCTGCTGGGCAGGATGTGTGGCACCTGGATGGAGGTCAGGACCGCCTGCCGAAAGCTCCTGTCTGGCACAGGGAGTGACCAAACAGCTGCTCCTCCAGCTGCTGTCGTCTCCCCCTGCCAGACTCCACTGGGGGCAGGATTGGGGGGGGTTCTTTTCTGGCGAGTAAAGTCATGGGAGCGCCCTCTGCAGGCAGGCCCGTAGCACTGCTGCCGGCACGTTAGCTAACCTCTGGAGCGAATGCGTGCAGCAGGACCACGCAGCCTCAGCATTTCCATTTAACTCGTCCTGCTTGCTGTTTGCCTTT